GTCCAGTTAACCCCCCCTCCTCTCTGGAGGTCACTCCCCCGCGCCGGGGAGGGTTACGCCGGCTCCTCTCCCTGCAGGCAGCCAGATGACAATCCTACTGCCACACACACTGTCATGAGATTTGGGAACCGTGCAGCACGGGGAACCCCCGGGGGGGAGGAGTCCCTACCGTGGGGTCTGCTGGCTCCGCAGGGCCTCCTTCCTGAGCAGCTCCAGGCGCTGGGGGGTGCAGAAGCAGCGGTAGGCCGCGCCTCGCGCCAGCAGCTCCTCGCTGGCCCTCCTGTAGAGCTCCAGCCTGTGGGACTGCTGGTAGGGCCCACAGGGACCACCACGGCGAGGGCTCTCATCAGGGGCAATGCCTGAAACAGCAGAATGACAGGACTTAAAAACCCTGTGAAGAGGCAGAGTGAAACCCACCGTCAGGGCACGCTGAGGGACGCTGAACAGCCGCCTCGCGCCAGCAGCTCCTCGCTGGCCCTCCTGTAGAGCTCCAGCCTGTGGGACTGCTGGTAGGGCCCACAGGGACCACCACGGCGAGGGCTCTCATCAGGGGCAATGCCTGAAACAGCAGAATGACAGGACTTAAAAACCCTGTGAAGAGGCAGAGTGAAACCCACCGTCAGGGCACGCTGAGGGACGCTGAACAGCAAGGTTCCAGAGGTGGGCTCTGCTCCAGGCACGTGCTGAGCACAGGAGGCAGACTCCCCTGGACTCAGGAGATAAAAGAGCAGCCAAGATCATCAGAATACAGAGTCTTGTGTGTGAAGCAATGAGCAGAAAAAAAACAAACCACCAGTAACTAGCTGAGCAGCTCTGACACACTGCCTGGGGCAGCCAGATGTGCCTGGAGAAAGCAGCATCCCCCTCTCACAGTAAAGGGCACTCACACCACAGAGACACAGTCGAGATCTCAGCCAAGCATTTCACCTGCCCCAGAGTTACTGCTCCACAGCAAAGTGCTAGTCCCTTAAAGCTCAGCTACCCACCAGCAGCACCCCTGGGATCCAGCTCTGACTTGATCACAGTTCTGTGTTCTAAAACCACCCTCACTCCTGGTTCTTAAGCTCAAGACACAGAGGATTCAAAATGAAAACTGACACCTCCATGTCCCCCTTAGCAAATACTCTCTTTACAAATAATTTATCAATTTACAGCAAGGTATGAGAGCTCCAGCTTCAGACCTTCCCATCACATCTCTCATGCACAGCCAGTCACAGCTGCACATCCTGCCACTTCCACAAACACCCAAAGAAACCCAGCCTGAGCACTTGTTTGTGCTGCAACAGAGGCTTCCAGCAGGACTTTCCTGACGCCTGGCTGGAGCAGTAACTACATCCCAAATAATTCATCCCCTGAAACACTTCACAGACTGCAATCATGCAAAATACTCTCAACCTGGGTACACTTAATCTAGATAGAAGGGAACCTTTTAGCAAGTAAAACATGAAAGATGTCTGTAAATACCTGCCCAGTCCAGCATATCTTCTATTCCTTCTGCAGCTCCTGGCACCACTCGACTTTGATCTGTATCCTCCAATCTCAAAATGAATGTGCCTTGGTGTTTTTTGGCAAAAATGTAATTGTACAAAGCAGTGCGAAGGCCACCCAAATGCAGGAAGCCTGTTATCATGGGAAAGGAGAGGAGAACACAGCAGTGAAGGCCCAACAGAGGTTTTTAAACAAGAGCTGTCAGGGCAGTGCAGTCTGTAATGGGAACTGGTGCTAAAGGCTGAGGGGCAGGGAGCTGTGCTGCAGACACTTCCTGGCTTTGTGGGCCCTTGCTATGGAACTGAATTACTGGTAACGGCCTTCAAAGCATGGATTCTCTGAAGTAATCTGGAAATCACTTAGAAACATAGAATCACAGACCGGTTTGGGTGGGAAGGGAC